TTTTTTTTTTTTTTTTTTTAGTCAGAGTCTCACTCTGTTGCCCAGGATGGAGTGCAGTAGCATCATTTTGGCTCACCACAGCCTCAACCTTCTGGGCTCAGGTGATCCTTCTGTGTCAGCCACCCACATAGCTCATAGCTGGGCCAACAGGCGCGTGCCACCATGCCCAGCTAATTTTTTGCCTTTTTTTTTTTTTGTAGAGATGAGGTCTTACTATGTTGCCCAGGCTGGTCTCAAATTCCTAGGTTCATGATCCTCCTGCCTTGGCCTCCCAAAATGCTAGAATTACAGGCATGAGCCACTGTGTCTGGTCCCCTTACCCAGTTGTAATGAGTATTCTGAATAGGAGCTGCTATCATCTTATGAGACACAGCTTCTTGGCTGTAATGGACTTAAGGGAGAGTATATGATCCAAGCTGAACCAAGAGTCCTTCCCTGAGACTTTTCACATTGGAACTGGGGGCATTGATAGGTGGAAAACTGTGAGAACTTGAACCTGAGGCTAGCAGTGGCCCTGTTGTTCTTGTGAAGAAACCCATCTGCCATTGGCAAAAATGAAGCCAAGGTGTCAAGACAAGCAGGGACTAATAGGGGAGAGTGATGGTTCTGGGGACACTGAGCTCTGATTCCAGTTGTCTTCAGCTTATATACCTTTGTCATGGGAACTAATACGGGGGGAGGCTCCCAAAAACCCAAAACTATTTTTTGGAGGGCGGGCTCCTGGTAGTACAGGCTTCCCCTACTAGGTAAGTGCTCTAGGAACCCACTGCATCAGTGTTCCAGCTAGCATTGTTATGAGAGGCTGCGTTCAGCTTCAGTGTATTTTTTTTCTTTGGAGATTCTTTCAGTGCGTTTGCCCATTTCATGGTGAGTAACTTGCGAGCGCCCCAGCCCACATCGTGCTAGTGGTCAGCAGTTTTTTACCGAAAACAGCATGACCGTCATGCCCATCCTCCTTATTCACCTGATCTCGCCCTGAGTGATTTGTTTGTGTTTCCCTGGTTGAAAAAGTCCTCAAAGTGAAACATCTTGCTGATGTGGAAGAGTGAAACAAAAAAACAGCAGAAGCATTGAAAGGCATCAAAGTTGACAAGTTCAGAAACTGTTTTGAGCAGTGGAAAAAGCGTCTTGATAGGTATATTGCCTCAAGCAGAGAGTACTTTGAAGGAGACTGAAATTTAAACTTGCAAGAATACACAATTTTTAATAAATAAATTCCAGGTGGGTTTTTTTTTTTTTTGGTCCTTCCTCTTACATCCCTATGATTGCTTAAACGTGACGAGTTAGATTTCTGTCCTCACTGTCTTGATTAATATATGTGGCAAGCCGGGCTCGGTGGCTCAGCCTGTAATCCCGCGCCTTTGGGAGGCTGAGGTGAGTGGATTGCCTGAGCCCGCGGGTTCAAGACCCGCCTGGGCAGGCGAAACCTCATCTCTACAATAAAATAAAAAACTTAGCCGGGCATGGTAGTACGCGCCTGTAATTCCGGCTACTCGGAAGGCTGAGGTGGAAGGATCACCGGAGCCCAGCAGGTCGAGGCTGCGGTGGCCGGGAGTGGCCACTGCACTCCAGTCTGGGCAACAGAGTGAGACTCCAACTCAAAAAAAAAAAAAATGTGGCAAACTTACACCCAACTTTTGAGACTCAGCTCAGGCATGCCTCTTCCATAAACTCTTCAGATATCTGCTCCACCCCCTCAAACCTCACTGGATTAGGCATCTTTTCTGGGTGCGCCCTTAATTTCCTGGAAAGGTCTCTATCACTGCATTTACCCACTCTTCCACAATCATTTATGTATGTGTCCTTCTCCTCTCCCCCTAGACCCTAAGTTCCTTGAGGGCAGGAACTCTGTTGCACCCTCTTTGGATCTCCAATGTCTAGAACAGTGCCTTCCACAAAGTGTACTCAGAAAAAGGTGTGTTGAATAGACAAAGTAGGTGGCTTCTTCTAAAGTTCTTTTAGGAAGTCTCCTTGATCCTTGCAATCTTTTCTACACAGTTTTCTCAGCAAAGCCTTTCCCTTCTCATATTTAGGACAGACATAGTTTAGTCCAATGTCAAAATTATTATATATTCTGAATGGGAGTGCAGGGCTGAGTTACTGAACTCAGTTCTTTATGATTTTTAGTTGGGAAATCTGGGCTGCTGATCCAGCTCTGACCCTGTCTGGGTGTGTTTTACTGCAGAAAGCCAACTTCTCTGAGAGTCTATGAACTTTTCAAATGGAAATGTTATGTCAGTCCTACCTACATCACAGGATTGTTAGTAAGAAGCAAATAAGACAAGCCATACAAAGTTGCTTTGAATAGGAGAGATGCATTCTTATGACAAAAAGATCCTGTGTCTTGATAATAGATAATTATACTTGAAAACACTGACCAAGGTCAGCTATCAAACACAAAGCCATATAAGCCAGAAGTGATTGCTTTTTCTGCTGACACAACAGTTTGTTATAGATCCTTTTAACTGCTAGAAAGTTCAGCGTTAAACATAATGCTCCAACCGGGCTCGGTGGCTCAGCCTATAATCCCACGCTTTGGGAGGCTGAGGTGAGTGGATTGCCTGAGCCCACGGGTTTGAGACCCTCCTGGGCAACTTGGCGAGACCTCATCTCTACAATAAATAAAAAATTAGCTGGGTGTGGTAGCGCACGCCTGTAGTTCCAGCTACTCAGAAGGCTGAGGTGGAAGGATCGACGGAGCCCAGCAGGTTGAAGCTGCGGTGGCCGGGAGCAGCCACTGCACTCCAGTCTGGGCGACTGAGTGAGACTCCAACTCAAAAAAACAAAAAACAAAAAACGTAATGCTCCATTATCATAACCATTTCAACCTAGATTTGTTTTTGATGATTTCTTTCTCTTCTCTATATACATATTGGTTTTTTATTTGCATTTAATGGTTTTGTTGAACATACATTTTTTTTCTGGTAATAGATTTATTGAAACATAATTCACTCATTTAAAGTATAAGACTCAGCCACGCATGTTGGCTCACACTTGCAATCCCAGCACTTTGGGAGGTAGAGGCTAGAGGATTGTGTGATCTCAGGGCTTCAAGACCAGCTTAGGAGGCTCGATGAGATATCATCTCTACAATAAAAAACAAACAAATAAATAAAAATTAGCTGGATGTAGTGGTGCCCACCTGTAGTCCCAGCTATTTGGAAGGCTGAGGTAGAAGGATACCCTGAGCCCAGCAGGTTGAGGCTGTGTTAGCTATAATTGTGTCACTGCATTCCAGCCTGGGTGACAGAGTGAGACTCTGACTTAAAAAAATATATATAAGATTCGTTGGTTTTTAGTGTGTTCACAGAGTTGTGCAACCATTACCACAGCCAATTTCAGAACATTTTGTCACCACATACACAAAAAAATCCATACTCTTTAGCAGTTATTCCGTATTGCCCTGATCTTTCCCAACCCAAGACGATCATTAATCTATTATTTGTCTTTATAGATTTGTCTATTTCTATTTCATGTAAATAGAATTATCAATATGTGGTCTTTGGTGTCTAACTTCTTTCATTTAGCATAATTCTTTTACTGTTCATCCATGTTATAACATATGTCAGTATATCATTTAAAAAATGTGGTAAATTTATATAGCATAAGGTTTGCCATTGTATCCATTTTTAAGTATACAATTTAGTGGCATTAATTACATTCACAATGTTGTGCTACCATCACACTATCTATTTTCAGAACATTTTGGTCACTCCAAACAGAACTCTTTATCCATTGTTATAGTTTGGATGTTTTCCCCCTCAAATCTCATGTTAAAATGTGATCCCTGATGTTGGAGCTGTGGCCTGGTAGGAGGTGTTTGGGTCATGGGGGGCGGATCCCTTGTGAATGACTTGTCACAGTCCTCACTCTATTAGTTCATGTTGCTTAAAAGAGCCTGGCACCTCCTTCTCTTTCCTCTCGCCCTCTTGCCACATAGCATGCCGACTCCTCTTGCCTTCTACCATGGGTAAACACTTCCTGAGTTCTCACCAGAAGGCGAACAGATGCTGGTGCCGTACAGAACCATGAGCCAAAATAAAACTCCTTCCTTTGTAAATTAGCCTCAGGTATTTCTTTATGGCAATGCAAAATGAACTGATGTATCCATTAAGCAATAACTCACCATCCTCACCTCTCCCTAGCCCTTGGTGACCTCTAATCTACTCTGTCTCTATGAATTTACCTACTCTAGATGTTTCATACCAGTGGAATGGTACAACACTGGGTTTTTGTGACTTATTTCACTTAAGCATGAGTTTTTCAAGCTACTCCTGTTGTAGCATGTTTCAGAACTTCATTCCTTTTTATGGCTGAATAATATTCTATTGTACCACATTTTGTATATCTATTCATCTCTCGATGAACATTTGGGTTGTTTCCATTTTTTTGGTGATTATGAATAATACAGCAATGAACATTTACATGTAAGTACCTGTTTGAATCTCTCTTTTCCGCTCTTTTGAGTAAATACCTGGAAGTGAAATAGCTGACTCTTATGATAAATCTATGTTCAGCTTTTTGAGGAACTACCAACTTGTTTTTGACTGTGCATCTTTTGAATATGGTTTAGTCCTCTTGAATTGTGAATAAATGAATGATAATAATAATAAACGAATACTTTTATAGAGGAGCAGTCTCAGTTCTAGCGTAAGATATGTAAGATCAGGCTCTAACTGCCAGTTTAAACACATGGATCAATCCAATCCTTTTGTTTTCTTTCCAGCAATGCTGCAGATTTGGATCGGAAATCCTCCTCTTCACATTCTGATAATTCCTTTGAAACCTCATTGCCTGAAGTTCAAAGGGATAACTATCCCCAGGAATTCAGCCTGCTTAAATTGCAGACAAGTAAGTCAAGTTATAGACCCCTCTGTGTCTGGGATCTTTTCAGAATTCTGCCATACTGTTGGCCACAGTCGCTGAAGACCCACAAGCACCAGGCATTTGACATACCTTATCTCTAGTTCTCACAACAATCTCTACTGTTACATGTTATTCAAAAATGATATGCCTTTATATAAAGCCCATTAAAGCACTACAATAAAATATTAAAACAACATAGAAGTATATAGCGTATAAAAATTCCTTTCCCAATATTCTCCAACGATATCCCTATTCTGCCCCCTAGCTGTGAAGAGTTGATATATATTTTCCCACTATTTCAAAATGTATATGTGTATGTATATACACACAGGTATACATATATAGTTATTAAATAAGTAGGTTAGTATGCAAACTAATACAAATGTAGTTTGCAAGCTATTTTCAGTCAGCAGTAAATAGATCATGGGGTCTTTTCATGTCAATACCTATGGATCTATATGGCTAATATAGATCTGTCCATTTTACAGAGAAGGAAACTGAGGCTTGGGGAGATTCAGTCACTCATACAGCCGCATAGCCAGGAAGTAGAAAGATGGGATTAGTGCCCAAACTTGCCTGCTTCCAAGCCTGTGTTCTTTCTTGGCTACCCCAGAGCCCAATTGTTTCTCAAGTCACCCTAGAGCTGCTAAGGCATCTTATATTGTTTAGAACCACTGTTAGCAATCTCGCAGGAAAAGTATCAAATGATGAAACAGCGCCCCTGTGAGGCTTAGTAACTAGCCTGAGGTCTCACAGCATCTTTTCTCATTTGACATAATCACATGTATACATTTCCCAGTGTCACTGTTGTGCGTGCATGTACTATTGTTGCAGCCAACACCATGTTCCATCCACTTGAGATGGAATGGCTTAGCCATTCCCTGGTTGGTGGCATTCTATTTTTTTCTACAAAGTTACGAGAGTGAAGATTGCATCATAGATGCTTGAAGGACTGTCTTTTGCTTCCAACCCATACATAACTTCCAAACATAAAATTGGCTTTATTTATTTATTTTTTTGTAGAGACGAGGTCTTGCTATGTTGCCTAGGCTGGTCTCAAGCTCCTAACCTCAAGTGATCCTCCTGCCTCGACCTCCTAGAGTGTTGGGATTGCAGGCATGAGCAACTGTGCCTGGTCCTAAAGTTGACTTTATTTCTGAAGAAGAGGGTAAAGAGAGAGTAGGTAGCTTTCTCCCCACTTTTCTTCCTTTTTGTGCCTAGTCCCAAAGAGATTGATACCACCCTGATATGAGACCAAGGAATTCTACATGTTGATTAAAGGTTGTTTGGCCAGATGGCGAGTTTTCACAGCTTTTTGTCATCCAGTTGCATCATGAGACTGGGAGCAGTCTAATGGAAGGATTTCTGATGTCTTGCAGAAGATGGGCAGCGTCCTGAGTGGACGTTTTACCCGAGGTTTAGCAGCAATATCCACACCTACCATATTGGAAAGCAGTGCCTCTTCAATGGAGTCTTTCTCGGCAACAGGAGGTCTCTATCAGAGAGGACAGTAGACAAGTGTTTTGGGAGAAAGAAATGTGGTAATGTTCCTTTTGGACTTTGATTGTGCAACTCTTGCGTCTGTTGCTGGGGGCAGTTCTTTGAAGTCACCGTGTCACCCTAGTGCAGTCAGGAAGGTAGAAAAGTGAAGGGGACAGTCGGCCGGCTACATGTTTTGGCAGAGAACTCACAACATATGCTGATCCACATTTTCATTTTTCTTTGAATTTCATGAAATGCAAATGTGACATTTAAGTCATCAGATTAGTTCTCTCAGATGCTTATTAATAGAAACTCTCATTGAAGTCTGAAGATTTATGTTTCAATTAGATGCTGCATAGCCTATGCATTTAAATTGTATTTTATATTCTCCACAAGGAAACCATCCCATAAACCTTAGTCCGAAGTGCATATTTTTATTTTATAGCTTATTTAATTAAAGGCAATTGAGATGAATATATCGCTATCTAAACTGTCTATCTATTTCTCCTTGTTTTATAGCTTGGTGAGTTCTCTGCCCCAACCTTTCCATAAAAGGTTTATTGAAAGACCCTAAAAAGTTGCTGAGTACCAACAGAGCATTTATGGCACATTTTTCTATAGAAACACCTGTGTGGGAGGCTGCCTATTCTTTAGGTATGAATAGGATTGCTGCAGCAGGAATACAAAGAGAAAGAAGTAGAAATTTCTCCTTTTTGAGTTTTAAAATAGACTTTTATTTTTATTTTATTTACTTTTGTATTTTTTTAAAATCTAGAGACAGGGTATTTCTATGTTACCCAGGCTGCTCTTGAACTCCTGGCCTCAAGTGATCCTCCTGCCTTGGCCTCCCAAAGTACTGGGATTATAGGTGTGAGCCACTGCGGACAGTCTAAAATAGACTTTTAAACTCATAGCAGAGATAAACAGCTTTGAGAATTGAGGCGTTTGTTTATTTGGCTACAGAATGCATGAAAAGCTGGGAGACTGTGAAGAGTTTTCACTCTGCACTGGATGGTGATGATAATCCAAATTCTAATCCTCACCCATCACTTCCTTCCTGACTCAATAGTAAATCTTATCTGAATGTTGTGTTTATTATTCTTCTGTCTCTCCCTCCCCCTCCCTTTCCTCCCTCCTGTCTTCCTGTATGCTTTTTTAAACACAGAGTAAATGCAAAGGTGTATTTATGAAATATTTATTGAATATATAGATAACTTTCCACAGTAGCCATTTGAAATAAATGTTTATGAATGCGGCTACTAAGGCTTAGGGAAGTTAATTAAACAGCTCAATGACACAGAACTGGAAATTGCAGAAATGAATTTGAAACCAAGTGTGACTGACTTCAAAGTCCAAACCCTTCTCACCTTCTCTTTCTGTCACCCAACTCTTACTTATCATACCCTGGCTTGGGATTCAAAAGATCTGGTTCCTCCACTCCCCCTGCTTTGAATCCTCAGCATCTCATCCTAGTAGGCACTAAATCCATGGGTGTAGTTGATGCTATTTTACTACACATAAGTGCTAATTACAAAACATTTTTTTTTTTGAGTCAGGGTCTCACTCTGTCACCCAGGGTGGAGAGCAGTGGTGTGACCCTGGCTCACTGCAGCCTCAAACTCCTGGGCTACTGAGTCTACTGAGTAGTTGGGACTAGAGGTGTGTATGATCATACCCAGCTAGTTTTTTTATTTTTTTATTTTTTAACTTTTTTTATTCGGAGTCTCATTCTGTTGCCCAGGCTAGAGTGCAGTGGCACGCTCGCAGCCACCCCAGTGTAGACCTGCTGGGCTCCGGCGATCCTTCTGCTTCAGCCTTCCAAGCAGCCGGAACTACAGGCATGCGCTACGGCACCCAGCTAATTTTTAAATTTTATTGTAGAGACGAGATCTTGCCAAGTGCTCAGGCTGGTCTTGAACCTGAGGGCTCAGGTAATCCACTCGCCTTGGCCTCCCAAAGGGCTGGGATTACAGGCTGAGCCACCGAGACTGGCCTCCAGGTAGTTTTTAAAATTTTTTTGTAGAGACGAGGTCTTACTATGTTGCCTAGGCTGGTCCTGAACTCCTGGCTTTAAGCAATCCACCCACCTCAGCCTCCCAAAGTGTTGGAATTATAGGTGTGAGACACTATACCCAGCCCCAAAATACAGAGCCATAGCTTTTGAAAAGGTTTTTGAAAGAGAAAGGTAAAAAAAGTAAATACTCCAGTAACTCAAGAACTCCTGCTTATCATACAGGTGGCTTTTTGGAGTTAGCTGGAAGTATTTGGGTAGGTAGGAAATAAAAAAGTCTTCCATATCTCTCCCTTTGGCTTGCATTTTGTGGGTACAGTAGAATCAAGAGGGGGGGGAGAGAGAGAACAAACTTGTTCATTGAGTGTGTGCCAAAGGCCAAAGAAGGAGGTCATGCTTCCAGTCATATATTCCTGCTTCTGAGCCCCAGGCAAGTGAGTCTCCTAGGAGATAATCTGGTGTCAGGTGTGTAGTTAAAATGACCATCCTGTCCCAGGCTGACTCCTTTTCCACTTCCGTGATCGGTTTCTTGTTCCTGGGGCTTTCGAAGGGGTGCTGAGTTGGGTGTCAGAGCCTTGGCTGACAAAGCAAGGTGTGCTCAGTAGCAATGGACTTTTCCCCGACTACTCTTCCCCAGAAAGACCACCTCCTGCTGCCGCATGGCCCCAGTCCTTGAAGCAGAAGAAGGGGCAGGACCTTCTTCTGCTTCAAATTATACACAGCACACTATACACAGGATCTTGACTACAAAAACATCTATTTGCTGGTTTCCTTTTGTTACCCAGTTAGAAAGGCAGAGCCTTGCTGCTTGGACTTTCTTTTTTTTTTTTTTTGAGTTGGAGTCTCACTCTGTAGCCCAGACTGGAGTGCAGTGGCTGCTCCCAGCCTCGTCTGCTCCCAGCCTCGTCTGCTGGGCTCCGGCAATCCTTCTGCCTCAGCCTTCCAAGTAGCTGGAACTACAGGTGCGCGCTACCACGCCTGGCTAATTTTTGATTTATTGCAGAGATGAGGTCTTGCCAAGTTGCCCAGGCGGGTCTTGAACCCGCGGGCTCAGACAATCCACTCACCTCAGCCTCCCAAAGCACGGGATTATAGCCTGAGCCACCGAGCCTGGCTGCTGCTTGGACTCTCTAAGATGCTGGGCCTCAGAGTGCATCAATACTTGAGAATGAAAAGATTTTTAGATCAAAGATTGTCACAAAGATACCTCTGATTCACTGTGTGTTTTAAACCAAAACACTCCGTCTGAACCCAATAATTCTTCCCCAGGACGAGGTAATCAATAACAACATTTTAAGAAAATGTCCCAAACATAGGCTCATACATGTATTTTCATCACCTCGAGTCAAGATAATCACAAACAGAACTTCAAGAAACCTCTATGTAATTCATAATAAAACACTAAAATATCCTATTTCCCTTGTCCTATCGACACTTATAGTACATCTGTGGATCATTTTCAGCCCTTTGTATGATTTTGTTTTCAAACATTTTCTACAGATATTGATCCCAGGAATGGAATCCCAAAGTTAACTCCGGGGGATAATCCATATATGTATCCAGAACAGAGTGCAGACTTCCATAAAGCAGGGTCAACTCTCCCACCAGTGAATTTTTCAATGTAAGTGTATGCTATTACTAGTTATTTAGTTAACTTTAGAGGAATTGCGTCTCTACTACACATAATTATATTTTAAAAGGGGTAGCTCTCAAAAAGACATGGTTGGATGAAAATTCCTTTAAAAACTCATCTTTAGTTAATTAGTGTATGCATACTTGCATGTATAATTAAAATTATACACAGGATCTTGACTATAAAAACATGGTTGTTAATTTTACTTCTATTTCTATTACCACAAATTTGAGCACTTTTTAATTTTTGTACTAATCAGATTGTTGGTTAGTAACTACTCTATGGGTTGACTTAAACTTGAAACTAAATTTAGACCAAAGTAATTGAGGAGAATTGGAAGATCATTAAATTCAAAGAAAAACAATTGGTCTATTACATTTAAAATATTATTACAAAATTAACCATGTGGGATATGATGATGCTGACTAAAAAATTATAAAAATAATTCAAATTATGGCCTTTACAGTTTTGAAGGCTGTACTTGAAAATTAAAACCAGAAAATAAGACTTTTTATTGAACATAATGACATATTGATCTCTTTGCTGTCTATGCCATACCAATTTTATGGTTGATTTTTCTGTTTTTCAGAGTACCTTATGAAAAGAAATTTGATACATTTATCCCACTTGAGCCGCTTCCACAAATTCCCAAGTGAGTTCTCTTACTATGTTTTATGTTTTTCCATCCTTATGAAATATCAATGATGTGTCATTTCCTCTTGTGGAGGAGTCTGTGGGCAACCAATACATAGAGGCCTTTTGAATCCCAGCATGGGGGAGAGGCAGCTTGTGAGGAGGGTTTTGGAGAGACAAATGGAGGTCAAGTGTCTGTGGAACTGATGATTGGGATGGTGACATATTCAACAGCTGTGATTGACAAACTACCAGATGCCGTGTACTGTGCTAGGTATACACTATAGGAGAGTTTGCACGGAGCAAAAAGACAGGATCCCTGCTTTCCAGAACATATGTGCAACCAAATGTACTTAAAATGGTTGCAACCAAGAATTTCAAGGGCAGAAAGAATACCAACAGAGCACTTTTGTATTCGAGGGAAGTATCATTTCTTTAATCTCATACTTTTGCTTGGCTCCATTCTGAACCTCACTTATTGATGATTGATTGATTGATTGAGTCAGGGTTTTACTCTGTCACCCAGCATGGAGTGACGTGGCACCATCATGACTGCAGCCTTAACCTCCTGGGCTCAGGTGATCCTTCCACTTCAGCCTCCCTAGTTCTTGGGACTACAGGTACTCACCATCACACCCAGCTCGTTTTTTTTTTTGTAGAGACAAGGTCTCACAGTCTCAAACTCCTGGCTCAAGCAATCCTCCTGCCTCAGCCTCCCAAAGTGCTGGGATTACAGGCGTGAGCCACCATGCCCGACCTAGAATCTCACTTATTTGCCTAGTAGGTTTCTGACCTAGATATTTTCTTTTCTTTTTAACTTTCTAATACAAAACAGTCTTATATAAGTATAGACATTGATTGATTGAGTGGACATTGTTCCAGAGTCTGATCTACCCTGGAGCTCAGTGGAATAAAAAAGCCTTTTATTCCAAACTTGAGACCTTTAATATCTTCATTATGCTGCATTATTACTTATGGCACATAACTGGGACTTCTTATGTCTGTACATTTTTAAAAAACACTATTTTGGAGTATTCAAAATAATACTAATTGTCTACATTCCATCACCTTACCCAACTATTCTAGCTTTTGTACTTTGCCTTTTATATGCAAATATGTTTCAACATGTAATATGCTTTAACATGTATAACGTAGTGTACTGATGATTCTGATTTTCCTTTAATAAAGGTTAAAGAAGTACAAAACATTATAGATCAGCATTTTCTTCTGTGCTGTGGACAATAAGAAAATTGGGAGACCTAAACCATTTCCTCAGGGGATAGTCACCATGATAAAAAAAAGTCTGCTAACCTGTCAGTCATAGCAGGAGAGACAAAGGCTCCACTTTTGATTTCTGGATTTAACATTTATTGTTTCCTAGATTCAATATTTTTCATCTGCAGTATCTAACTTGCTGTTAATCACATCTAGTAACTATTGTGTTTTCAATCTTTAGAAATTCCATTTCATTATTTTTATATTTTTTATTTCTTTCCTCACTATTTTCATGTTTTCTTTAAAAACTTGAACATAGGCTGGGCGCAGTGGCTCATGCCTATAATCCTAGCAATTTGGGAGGCCGAGGTGAGAGGATTGCCTGAGTCTATGAGTTCAAGACCAGCCTGGGCAACTCGACGAGACCTCATCTTTACAATAAATCAAAAAAATAGCCGGATGTGGTGGTGCCTGCCTGTAATTCCAGCTACTTGGAAGGCTGAGGCAGAAGGATCACCTGAGCCCAGCTGGTCGAGGCTGTGGTAGCTGTGAGCATGCTATTGCACTCCAGCCTGGGTGTCAGAGTGAGATTCCAACTAAAAAAAAAAACCGCAAAAAACTTGAGCATAGTTATAATAGCTGTTTTAACATTTTTTGTTTGCTAACACTATGATCTGTGTCACTTCTGGGTTTGTTTCTACTGACTGATTTTTCTCCTGGTTAGGAGTAACATTTTTCTGCTACCTGTTTTGTCTAGTAATTTTTATCCGGATATTGGACATTGTAATTTTATGTTGTTGAGTGTCTGGATTTTGTTGTGTTCTTTTAAAGAGTGTCAGACTTTGTTCTATCAAACAGTTAAGTCACTTCCAGTTTGGTTGATACTTTCCGATGCTTGTTTTCAAGTTTTGTTAGGGCATCTCTAAAGTGACTTTTACTTTAAGAATAGTTTGACCCAACTACTAAGTAAGCTGTGATGTCCTTGTAGAGTCTTTACTGAATGCCTTGAATGATCAGTGAGGAGTTTTCACTTTAGTTGGTGGGAACTCTAATGATTTTTAGCCCTTTGAGAGCCCTGGGAACCATTCAGTTCAGTTTTCCCACTCTGTTATCTGATCTTGTGGCGTCTTAGCCCATGTCTTACTTAGTATTCAGTAAAGACTCAAATGGAGTGCTATAGAAATTTCTTAAGCTCATTTTTTGTATAGCTCCTTCTCCAGAACTTTGTCCTGCAGCTTCCAGCCCTCTAGAATTCAGCCTTTCTGAACTCTGATCTTTGAGTCCTCAAACTCAGAACACCATGCTCTACTTGGGATTGCTGATCCCTGCTCTGTGGTCTTGAATGTGCCTCCAGCCAAAAGATGGGTTATTATAGGACGCTCCTCATTTGTTTTCCTTTTCTCCAGAATCACAACCCTGTGCTGTCTTTGTCTCATGTCTGAAAGCTGTTATTTCATTGTGTCCAGTTTCTAGTTGTTGAAATCAGGAGAGTAAATCTGGTTCCTGCTACTTCATTATGGCTGAAAGCCAGACTTCTTGCTACCGCTGAATAAAAATTACAGGTTTTATTTTTGTCTTTTCCAAGTTATTTGGTGATTGATTTTGTGATTGCATTATTATTGTTAAAGTTATTCACATCTCTAAATATTGTACTAATTGTGCTTAGAAATTTTAAAATGTGAAATCTGCAAATGCAACTATCCAACTTTAAGATAAGGCCAAAACTTGATAACCAGATATCTTATATGACAAGTAGTTCTCTATGCTAGTGTTAAATATTGCTCTTTTTTTTTTTTTTTTTTTTTTTTGAGTTGGAGTCTCACTCTGCCACCCAGACTGGAGTGCAGTGGCGGCTCCCGGCCACCGCAGCCTCGACCTGCTGGGCTCCGGCGATCCTTCTGCCTCAGACTTCCAAGTAGCTGGAACTACAGGCGCGTGCTACCACGCCTGGCTAATTTTTGATTTATTGTAGAGATGAGGTCTCGCCAAGTTGCCCGGGCGGGTCTCGAACTCGCGGACTCAGGCAATCCACTCACCTCGGCCTCCCAAAGCACTGGGATTACAGGCTGAGCCACCGAGCCCGGCCTAAATATTGCTCTTAGTCCTGCTTTTCTTACTTGATTTTCTGCTATGGTTTGTTACCTATGTAGTATTCCCTCCTATTCCTTCTTGCAGGGACTTGCCTATACCCTGCAGTTTCATCAGGGCATTTTTCCAATCATGGTATGTTTCACCCTAGAAGTTTTAGAATTTTAGCTTCCAAAAATAAAGACTTTCTCCGTCTCCCTGCTCCGACTCATTCCAGAGTCACACTTCCTGCTACCTCTTGGAACACATGCAGTGCAGCCCAGAAATGCCCTTTCAGGTCTTAATGGACTTAAGAGGTCTCCGAGTGTCTGCATTAGCCAAGGCCCCAGAAGAAAACAGAAAGCACACTCCACTGGAATTCTAACACAGCTTAATGAGAGGGACTAATTACAGGCATGTGGGCAACATTGAGGGAACCCATGTGGGAGGGCCAAGCACCCAGAGGCTCACGACGGTGGGAAGCTCTACTATTAATACCTCTGGGTCTGAGGAGCAAGAAGAGGGATTACGGTTTGCCAAGCAGTGAAAGCTGGAGCCCTGGGGGAAGGGCTGCCCACAGGACTTGTGCCACTGCCGGAACTGGGCTGCCTCGGGAGATGTGAGGAGGGAAGAAGCTAGGTAAGAAATACCCCAGGCTGGGCTTGGTGGCTCAGCCTGTAATCTCAGAACTTTGGGAGGCCAAGGTGAGAGGATTGCCTGAGCCCATGTTCAAGACCCACCCGGGCAACTTGGCAAGACCTCATCTCTACAATAAATCAAAAATTAACCTGGCGTGGTAGCGCATGCCTGTAGTTCCAGCTACTTGGAAGGGTAAGGCGGAAGGATCGCAGGAGCCCAGCAGGTCGAGGCTGCAGTGGCCAGGAGCGTGCCACTGCCCTTCAGCCTGGGTGACAGAGTGAGACTCCAACTCAAAAAAAAAAAAAGAAAAAAAGAATTACCCCAACCTCTCTCTTCCCACCTTCTAATCTTCTGCCAGTGCCTCATCAGCCAAACCCAACTCAAAGGTGGGAGTATGGAGAAGCCCGGGTGACCCCAACTGCAGGGTCAGCTTCCGGCAGAGAAGGACAGAATGAGAGCTGAATTTAGGCAGGGTCAATTGGTGAACAACTAACATGCTCTTTTATTGTGAAGGACCTCCTAAATTGGAGGTCTTTTTATTTTTGGAGTATGTAGTACTTTATCCACTGATGGTGTTTGTACATTTTGCATCAAGCTCCAACTCAGGGTGTTGTTTTCTTCCCACAGCTTGCCTTTCTGGGTGAAGGAGAAAACCAACAGGTTGAAGAATGAGATAAGAGAAGTTGAGGAGCTTGACAATTGGCAGCCAGCAGTGCCCTTAATAAACAGTTTATTCTCTCCTGGTGGGTTAAAGAACCTTCAAAAAATAATATAAAAACAGGAGGAGTCCAGAAGAGCAGGCCTTTGAGAGGCTTCACAGAGGAAAGGAGAGTAGGCAAAGCCTCTTCTGGAGTGGATGTGTCTGCAGTCCCCAAGTGGTCCTTGGGGCAGATGTCATGGCCGAGATTGAGGGTCAAGTGTGTTGGTTAAGAACTGTTGTGCAATGGAACACACACTTTAACTCCATGCTTCTGTCCACAGGTACTTTGGACTTTCCAAGACAATCCTGAGCAGAAACAGGCCCATAAAGCATCAACTGACTGCACGCCGGGGAGCCTTTTCCAGTTGATGCCTTTTGTCACATGACTGTTCTAAATCAAATATTTGACTCTAAGAAGAAGCACTGTGCTTTGCTTTTTTAAACTTTATATTTCGAAAACTTTCAAACTTACTGGAATGTTGCAAGAATCATATAACAAATACTTGCATATCTTTCACCTAGATTCTACAATTGTTAATATTTGTCTAAACTTTCTCTCTCTCTCTCTCACATGATTTCAATTATTATTTTGCTGAACTATTTGAGAGTGAATGGCAGACATTGTAACCCTTTACATCAGTATACCTACATACCTCAGTAGGTATCCCTAAAGGTCAAGGATATTTTGTAACAACCACAATGCAAATAACAAATTCAGGGAATTTAATATTGATACAATACTACTAAGATATCCATTTAGTATTATTCAATTATATTTAGTTTTCTAAGGATGTCCTTAAATCAATAACAAAATCAGATATTATGTGAGTGTCTTAGTCTGTTTAGACTGTTATAACAAAATACCATAAACTGAGCAGCTTATAAACAACAGGAATTTATTTCTCACAGTTCTGGAGGCTGAGGAGTTCAAGCTCAAGGCACTGGCAGATTTGGTGTCTGCTTTCTGGTTCATAGATAATAATATCCTCTGACTGTGTCCTAATATAGCAGAAGGAGTGAACTAGTTCTCTGGGGTCTCTTTTATAGGACACTAATCCCATTCATGGGGGCTCTGCCCTCATGACCTAATCACCTCCCAGTGGCTCACCTTTGAATACCATCACCTTGGGGATTAGGCTTCAACATATGAATTTTTTTGAGTGGGGGCACACCTTCAGACCATAACAGTGAGCTGTCATTATTTTGGGTAAAACTAGTCTCATTGTATTAAGCGTTTTGGAATTTTCTCTAATATTAACTTAGTACATGTCATGTGAAAGCTGGATATTCTCCAGGTAATCAATACCATTTTCTTGTAGCTCCATCCCCTACTTCAGTATTGCCTGTCTACACAGCCAAGCAGAGTGAGAACTCAGTGACCACCACTCATGACTCTTAGGGCCTTCCCTCAATCAGACAAGAGCAGACATTGGGAGGAAAAGGTGGGAACAAAAGCCACTCCTTTATAGTCAGGCTGTGACACAGTCAGACTAATGACTCACAACTTTTTCATAGCCAATCTCCTTCTCCACTAAGGATACCCCATGGTTGGCTAATGAGGGATGCAGATCTGGTCTCCCCAAAACCTTAAAGTGGAAAAGGAGATTGTGGCCCATGCTGAGACTCAAAATGCCCATGACATGGGCATGAGTTCCTTCCCTGCTCAAAAATATTTGTTATCCCCAGACACAGCCAAAGTGAATGAAGTGGGTTTAGAGCACAGTTTATTCATGGTGTCTTCATATGTGCCTTTAGACTAACCAGCAGAGAACATGGTGCCTACTGCCCGCAACTGGGGCCTGACCACTCCTTAGGTGACATCAGCATACATCTGTGTTAATTATTTGTCCTCTGAGACACATGGCCCACACCTGCCCCAATATAAGCCAGAGAAGAAAACAAAATCAAATAAATTTTATTATTGTTATTTATTTTAGTTGGGGTTTCACTCTGTCACCTAGGCTGGAGTGCAGTGGCCACATCACAGCTCACCGCAGCCTCGACCTCCTGTGCTCAGGCGATCCTTCTGCCTCAGCCTCTCGAGTAGCTGGAACTGCAGGCACGTGCCACCATATCCAGTATATTTTTTGTTTTTTGTAGAGACGAAGCATCACTAATGTTGCCTAGGCTGGTCTGGAACTCTGGGACTAACGCAGTCCTTCTGCCTTGGACTCCCAAAGTGCTGGGATTACAGGCATGAGCCACCAGGCTTGGCCTCAGATTTTTGAAAAGCAAAAAAAGAGATTGTCAAGAGATTTTTCAGAATATATTAATTTGTGCCTCTATTACTTAAATATAAAGTCTTCCTTCTAGTCAACCAAAGGGAAAAAAAGGGAGAAAAGTCAGCTGCAATCATCTGGTGGGTGGATAATAGAGGACACGACATAGAACAAAAAAAGATTCTGCAGGGGTTTCCTGATGGGAATATCCAGGAGGTAGAGGGAACTGTTCTCGGAATGCACTCTGGTGTTTTGGAGGGAAGGAGTCCTACACAGTAAAGGTATAAAGATAAATATCTAAAGTACAGTTTTAGAAGGGTTGGAGCAGTCTCCAGATTTCAAAAAGGTCTATTATTTTCTAGATGCTGCTGTAAACCTGAGTAGACATGCTTTAGATGTGATTTTTCCCCCTTTAATCCAGGCCACAAATTTGAATTTTTAAAAATATTTGGCTGGGCACAGTGGCTCAAGCATGTAATCCCAGCACTTTGAGAGGCCAAGGTGGGAGGATTTCTTGAGCCCAGGGGTTCAAGATCAGCCTAGGTAACATAGTGAGACACCATGTCTACAAAAAAACAAAAAAATTAGCCAGGCATGGTGGTGTGCGCCTGTAGTCCCAGCTACTTGGGAGGCTGAGGTGGAAGGATTGCATGAGCTCAGGAGGTTGAGGCTGCTGTGAGCTGTGATTATTGTGATCATGCCACTGCACTCCAACCTGGGTGACAGAATGAAAATCCAACTCAAAAAAAAAAAAAAAGTAATCATACACACAAAAAAATCAAACTATTTAATGGTTGAACTTCTGGAGTTGTTGGACCACCTTCCATCACTTGGAAATCAAGGTGGTTTTCACTGGTTCTGGTGTTCTCTGTAGGCATATCTCAGTAGCCAGGCCTTATTCCTGGCAACTCAACAGCTGGCAGGTGAAGTGTTCCACCATCTTTGGGCAGGATGTGTATTAATCTCTTACTTTTTTTCTTTTTGAGTTGAGATCTCACTCTGTCACCCAGGCTGGAGTGCAGTGGCACCATCAAGGCTTGTTGCAGTCTCATCCTCCAGAGCTCAGGCAATCTTTCTGCCTTAGCCTCCCAAGTAGCTGGGACTACAGATGTACCTCCACGCAGGTCTGAGCAATGTGCCGGATGTAGGATAGCTACTTTTTAGGGATCTGTAGCCAAGTTCCCAGTGTACTCTGGAAAGGGATGTGGGAACCTATTGGAGATGACTAGTGTCCTTCAATGCTGGGGAGCTCCAGGGAGGACTATGGCCTGATCCTACCCTCAGGAATGGAGAGGCCACTATTCACTTAGATGCCAGCCAAGAGGCTCCTAAATCTGGACTTTGTAAGAATATTTAATGAAAAATAAACATTTCCTGGTATGCATAAAACGTCCCAGCCTCATGTCAAATAAGCAGCCAGAATATCCCAATGCCTTATTTTCTGAGGAACTGTGCCTGTCTCCACCAAATGTGGTGTGGGGGTGGCAGGCAAACCCAGCTTCCAATGGTGAAGGTGTGAGTGAGGCTATGATCATCTGGCTAGAAATGTGTTCTTTCAGCTGGGCACAGTGTGGGCTGGAATAAAAATTGGGCTTATGTTAGACAGAATGACTATGTGGGACATAGTCATACTGAAGATCATTCTTTTTCTGAAATCCAAATTTAACTGGGAGCTTTGTATTTTTATTCATCAGATCTAGCAACTTATAGTGGAGGTGGCACAAAGGAGACGGATTTGAGGGTTAAGTAGGAGGTAAAGGAGATGAGACTCTGGAACAACTTTGCTACAAGTAGGGGAAAGATAGAAGGCAAGATGCCAACAAGGTGGATGGTGGTGCTGTTGCCAGGGCCACCTCTAGCTCATGTGTTATCTTTGTACAACTAGAGATAGAAACCCTCCTGGCAGACACAGCCCTGTGGATGCACAGCTTGGCGAGCCATGTACAAGCTGGATTGCAATCCCCATTGCCAGTTGTGCAGTGAACTTCTCACATAGCCATACACGGCAGTCCTATGCTATTCACTGAAATAAGAAATCCTGGGGAGGTACAGGTTTTCTGGTAGGAGGTCAAGGTTGGGTAAGTTGACTTTGGGGAACCTATAACACACAGAGGTGGAACTGTTTAGGATGTAGTTGAGCATGTAAGTCTGGGATATGGATGTACATATGTGAAAAAAAAAAAGAAGTCTTCTGTGAGAAATGTACATCCTGAGCCTGTGTCATGTGGATAGGGACCTAGATGTAAAAGATGTATGCGCTTGGGATATCCATCTCAAACTGAGCAATGAACACCAAGAGATTCTTGAACCTCTGGGGCCTAAGAAAAGGAAATTATCTGTGGGGACTCTAGAAATAACACCCACAAAGATGAGCTCATGAGAAAAAAATCACAAACTACAATTGGATCCGCCACAAGGAAGGGGACTAAACCAAGCCTACTTACGTGATTAACCATGTTTTGCAATGCAATATGAGTTACCAGGATTGAGGATGCTCGGAATTCCATTTTGTAGGAACTTGACATGAACGTTAGCTTTTTTCAGTGCTGACTAGAAACTTCATTTAGAGAGGCTCAGGGGTCTGGAACTCCTAGCCCTTGGCAATCAGGTAGATGAGGCTAGAGGACTTGCCTTGAAATTGTACAGTCGGCCGGGCTCGGTGGCTCAGCCTGTAATCCCGCGCCTTTGGGAGGCTGAGGTGAGTGGATTGCCTGAGCCTGCAGGTTCGAGACCCGCCTGGGCAGCGAGACCCCATCTCTACAATAAATCAAAAAATCAGCCGGGCGTAGTAGCGCATGCCTGTAGTTCCGGCTACTTGGAAGGCTGAGGCAGAAGTATCACTGGAGCCCAGCAGGTGGAGGCTGCGGTGGCTGGGAGCGGCCACTGCGCTCCAGTCTGAGCGACAAAGTGAGACTCCAACTCAAAAAAAAAAAAAAAAAAAAGAAATTGTACAGTCATGTGACACATTTGGTCAATGGCAGACTGCTTATGTGATGGTGGTCCCATAAAATTATAATACTGTATATTTATTGTACCTTTTCTATGCTTAGATACACATATACTTACTATTGTGTTCCAGCTGCCCACAGTATTCAGTACAGTAACATGCTATACAGGTTTACAGCCTGGGGGCAATAGGCCATTCCATACAGCCTAGGTGTGTAGCAGGTTATACCATCTAGGTAAGTGTGTG